CCCTCTCTCTTCTCTCTCTCTCTCTCACTGTCTGTCTCTGTCTCTATACACGCATGGGAATGTCCAGGAATAGCAATACCATATATTGCTAAGAGTTCTAGATACACGTTATCTGTGTTGGCAATACAAGAGACAAGCATGAGAATCATGTTGCTGGGTGTCGGGGAGCTTGCAGCCGTTCAATTTTTTTATGATTGGTAACCTGAGGTGTACCCTCGACCTATATCGCCAGCCCTGAACCTTAGTCCCAATCAAAGGCCTAAGCCCTAACCCACAACATTGACATTCTAAACTCGAGCTTCAACCTTCAATGCCCTGCCCCGAACAACCTTTGGAGTGCCAGCCGGAAGCAAACCTGAGCTCCGCGTCGCATCGGTGCGGTTCAGTGGCTGTAAACCCAACGCAAAGAAACACAAAACTTCAATCCCTTAAGCACGAGAAAGTCCCCAAGGACTCAGTACAGAGGCCTGAAGCATTAATTATTGCATCGTCTTGCAGTCACTGCATAGTTTTGGTAGCTACAACGTACACAGAACCCTATTCGGATGATTACGGCTTACTAGCACCCTCCCATGCCCGTTGATCACCAACCCTTATACTTTCCCGGAGAAGAACTGTTTCAGGATGTCCCTACTAACTCTTAGAGCCATTGAAACCCCGAGTCCGGATTGGATTTCGAACCAGAGCCCCAAAACCGGAATAGAGGGGCCTTAGTTCGAATAGTCTTGCGGGGGATACTACGGTATACTTTTTAGAAGGACTCAGAGTAGGGATCTTCGGGCATATTAGGGTATATACCTAGCAAAGGGAACCTTAAGGATCACTTCAGGCTTCTGTAGTACACTCCCCACCCCTTTTATGCCTTGCATGCTGAAGCCCTGCAAAGTTAACCGTTAAGCCCGAAAGTTTAGGGGTTCGGTTTTGGGGCCCCCGAAGCCCTACACCCTAAACCCTAAAAGCCCTAAACCCCAAACCCCAAAACCCAAAAACCCAAACCCTAAACCCTAAACTGTCCTACACCTGAAAAGGCGGATATTCCAGCATGGCTTGGGCTTCTGAATGCCGTCATCGTTTGCGTCTTCGTTCCTCGATGAGACCGAGTTCTGCGGGCCTGGGATGTGCTGGAGGGTGGGTTTTAGGGTTTAGGGTTTGGGAGTCTACGGATTACTGGGCACTAAACCCTAAACCCTAAACCCTAAACTCGGGCTTCGAACAGCTGAGACTCCAAGCTTTGCTATTGGCTGCATGTTGCGGGGCTCGAGGTTCCAGGGCAGTTGTGGGGGCTTTGGGGTTCAGGGTTTAGGGCTTTTGGGGCTTTTGGGGTTCAGGGTTTAGGGCTTTTGGGGTTTTGGGGCTTTTGGGGCTTTTGAGGCTTTTGGGGCTTAGGGTTTAGGGTTTAGGCCTTTTGGGGCTTTTGGGGTTCAGGGTTTAGGGCTTTTGGGGTTTTGGGGCTTTTGGGGCTTGTTGGGTTTAGGGCTTTTGGCGGTTTTGGGGTTTAGGGTTTAGGGCTTTTGGGGCTTTTGGGGCTTTTGGTTTAGGGCTTTTGGGGTTTACGGTTTGGGGCTTTTGGGGTGTCGGGACTGGATTCAGGGTTTCAAGCGAGGCTTAGGTTTTGAGGTTTAGCTTAGGCGAGTGAGCTTTTTCAGGCAATGCCGGTATCCACTTTCTCGACTTTAGTTCCTACAACCTGGTTAATATAGAGGCCTGGAAATAAATAAATAAATAAATATAAATATAAATATAAATATATATATATATATATATATATATCAACCTTAAGTTATGTAGCTGCAGCCATACCCGAAACCCGATCCCAACTGCTAAAGCCCCATAGGTTCAAGAAGGCTTCGATCCTATAACCCCCCCCAAAAATCCTATCGAGACCTCAGGTTCCCTAAACCCTACCTGGACCCTAAAGAACCTGCCTTTTTCAGGGCTCCTTATCATATTTTCTTTTATATAAGCCCTTAGAAAGGTAGGTTATTTGGGGTTAAAGTAAACCCTAAACCCTAAACCCCCTAAGCCTTAAACCCTCAGGTTCTAGAGATCATCCTCAAGTTGATTGCTTATGGCTGCCGTGGCTTCTGGCGGGGACCGCAGGCACGGGCTGCAAGGTGTACGGCTCGGCACTTCGGGGCTTGGCATTCGCGGCACAGGGCAAAATGGTTAGAAGACTGCATCTAGAGTTTAGGGTTTAGGGGTTTATGTCGGAAGGGGCGATGAGTTCTGGGATTTCTTCACGTTGCATCTTGGACGCAACTCTGTGCTTGCTGCGCAGGGCCAGATGCTACGAGGTGCTATGCTGTGCCGTGCTATGCTGTGCTATTCTTTGCGATGCCACTGCTATGCCATGCCATTCCACTATGCCCTTTCTGTCCTACCCTCTCCTGTCTGGTCCTGTACGTACCAGCCAATACTAGACTCACCTACGCTACACTATCTACTCTTCTGCAACATACTCTTCTACACTGCACTACACTCCACACCACACTACCCTAGACTACGGTACGCTACACTACACTGCACTACACAACACTACACTACACATACCATGCTATACTATGCTGTGCTAGGCCATGCGCGGATGGCACGAACAGCTTCCCTAAACCCTAAACCCTAAACAAAACCAGGCCTGGTGGAATATCTTCGATTTCTTCATCGTCGCCGTCTCTGCGTTGGAGACGGTGCTGGATCTGTGGGCTCGGCACCTCGGTCCGAGGAAGCTTAGAGTATAAGGGGCTTCATATGATGATTTAAGCTATATTCCTTATTACAGGGGTATTGGTTTAGGGTTTAGGGTTTAGGGTTTAGGGTTTAGGGTTTAGGGTTTAGGGATATGATGATTTAGGCTATATTCCTTATATCAGGGGTATTGGGCTCGGCACCTTGGTGGGAGGTCGACAAAGAGAGCCAGGGCATCCTGTGCATGTACCTACCTACCTACCTACCTACCTACCTACCTACCTACCTACCTGCCTGCTCAAATGTGGACCTAGCTACCTATCTGTGACCTATCTAGCTATGTTTGGAATTCTTGATCCTTGGGCCCTCGCCGAAGTGTCGTAACCTTGGCATGGTAGTCTGATTATTAAGGCCCCTATATCCGAGGCAGTATTAGAGAGACCCTTTAAAGGGGACACTTCTTCACCCTACTTTGGGCTCTCTTACAGGGACCATTTTCAGAGTGTCTATAGCCCCAAGGGTCCCCCTAATCCGAACTCCCCCGAACCCCCTAAACCCTAAACCCTAGACCCCTAAACCCAAAGCTCAAAGTCTAAGGGGCTTCCTTTCATGATTCGAGCGATATTCCTTTTCGCAGGGGTATTCGGCTCGCTGGGTATTGCCCGTTTCAGAAAAGTTACCCTGGGGCCTGCCTTTGTGAAAGCGCAAGTCACAAAAGCTTAGGGCTTAGGTCATTTTGTGGGGTTCAGGGTTGAGGGTTTAGGGTTTAGGTCATTTTTTGGGTTTAGGGTTTAGGTCACTTTTTAGGGTTTAGGGTTGAGGTCATTTTTTGGGGTTCAGGGTTGGAGGGTTTAGGGATAAGGCCCTAAAACAGGAGCTTGGTGGCTGCCATCTGGGGCTCCGATGCCTTCTCAGTCGTCCGGACTATGCGGCTGGCGCGTGCTCGGCTGAGGAGTTCTGGGCCTCGAGGGTTTAATGCAGGGGCCTACATAATTATAATTACAAATACTACTTTGGGGTTCCTTCTTATAAGTATAGTATAATGGGCCCCAACACACTCTTCTACTTATTCAGGCCCCTATATAAGTGTTTCGGATTTGGGGTTTAGGTTTCGGGATTTAGGTGGGGTTAGGGTTTCAGGTTTTCGGATTTCTGGTTGCTTCCGCGGCGATTTGCTGCTTTGACGGTTGGGAATCATGGGTTTAGGGTTTAGGGTTTAGGGTTTAGGGTCATGGTTTCAAGGTTGGAGCGGGTGTTTCCATGCTCTATCCTTCTGCTGCAGGTGCGTGGGTTCATTTGTTTGTGCTGCAGGTGCTCGTGCGCACTTCTTTGTTGCGGTTGCAAAATCCTCTGCAGAAAGGCAACTCGCACCCATGCGCCCCTTCACCCGTGTAAAGACAGAAATTCGAACGCGCCCCGCAACCACAGCACCCAAAATGCGCCGCCGCATCCACAGCAAAAACAAGCGCCCCACACCCGATAGTACCCCTAATCATTGTACCTTGAAAGAGCCTGTTTTTGACCTGAATCACCCCGATCTCGTACCTAAACACTAAACCCTCAACCCTAAACCCCGAACCCTACACCTCGTTAGCAGTTGCTAAACCCTAAACCCTCAACCCTAAGCCCTCAACCCTCAACCCCAAACCCTACACCTCGTTCGCAGTTGCTAAACCCTCAACCCTCAACCCTAAACTAAACCTCGCTAGCAGTTGCTAAACTGCTAAACCCTAAACCCTCAACTCTAAACCCTCAACCCTAAACCCCAAACCCTACACCTCGTTAGCAGGTTAACCGTAAACCCTAAACCCTAAATCTTAAACCCTCAGCCCTAAACCCCAAACCCTAAACCTCGTTAGCAGTTGCTCAAGCCTAAACCCTAAACCCCAAACCCTAAACCCTCAACCCTAAACTAAACCTCGCTAGCAGTTGCTAAACCCTAAACCCTAAGCCCTCAACCCTAAACCCCAAACCCTACACCTCGTTAGCAGGTTAACCCTAAACCCTAAACCCTAAATCTTAAACCCTCAACCCTGAACCCCAAACCCTAAACCTCGTTAGCAGTTGCTAAACCCTAAACCCTAAACCCTCAACCCTAAACCCCAAACCCTACACCTCGTTAGCAGGTTAACCGTAAACCCTAAACACTAAATCTTGAACCCTCAACCCTGAACCCCAAACCCTAAACCTCGTTGGCAGTTGCTAAACCCTAAACCCTAAACCCTCAACCCTAAACCCCAAACCCTAAACCTCGTTAGCAGTTGCTAAACCCTAAACCCTCAACTCTAAACCCTCAACCCTAAACCCTCAACCCTAAACCCTAAACCCTACACCCTACACCCTACACCTCCTTTCCAGTTGCTAGGTGCCCTTTTTAAGGAATTTACCATAATTCCTGTAGTTTAGGGTCCTTAAGGTAATGCAGGATGTATACCATCAACAGTAGTACCTGAATCCGCCCGATCTCGTGAACAGTTGCTAGACCCTGAACCCTAAACCCTAAACCCTGAACCGCAAACCCTACACCTCCTTTCCAGTTGCTAGGTGCTCTTCGCGGGATGCGTTTTCTTCGAGTCTTCCGCTACTTCAGCGCACTGAGGCCCTCGGCGTCTCGTGGCTCGGGATCTAGGGTTTAGGGTTTGGGGTTTAGGGTTTGGGGTTTAGGGTTTAGGGTTTGGGTTTGTGGTTTAGGGTGTAGGGTTTGGGGTT